GATGCTCCGCCCCATATCCCCCAGTTGCCCTGGGATCCTCCGCTTGGGATCCCCCCCAAAATACCCCAACCGCCCCCGAGATTCTCCACCCCGTATCTCCTCCAACACCCCAATCCCCACCCCGATGCTCCTGGCGGGGTCTCCCCATCGCACCCCCTCCCTCGGGGCTTGGGTTGGGTGGAGTTGGGTTGGGTTGGGTTGAGTTGGTTGAGTTGGTTGAGTTGGGTTCGGTTGAGTCGAGTTGGGTTGAGTTGAGTCGGATTGAGTTGGGTGGAGTTGGGTTGGGTTGGTTTGAGTTGGTTGAGTTGGGTTCAGTTGAGTCGAGTTGGGTTGAGTTGAGTCGGATTGAGTTGGGTTGGGTGGAGTTGGGTTGAGTTGGTTGAGTTGAGTTGGGTTGAGTCGGGTTGGGTTGGGTTGAGCTGAGTTGGGTGGAGTTGGGTGGAGTTGGGTTGGATTGAGTTGGTTGAGTTGGGTTGAGTTGAGTCGGGTTGGGTTGGTTTGGGTGGCGTTGGGTAGAGTTGGGTTGACTTAGGTTGAGTTGGTTGAGTTGGGTTGAGTTGGTTGAGTTGAGTCGGGTTGATTTGGGTTGAGTTAAGTTGAGTTGGGTGGAGTTGGGTTGAGTTGGGTGGATTTGAGCTGGGTTGGATTGAGTTGAGTCGGGTTGAGTTGAGTTGTGTTGAGCAGTCAGGTGGAGTTGAGTTGGGTTGAGTTGGATTGAGTTGGTTGAGTTGAGTTGGTTGAGTTGAGGTGAGTTGAGTTGAGTCGGGTTGAGTTGAGTCAGGTTGAGTTGGGTTTGGTTGAGTTTTTTTGAGTCGGGTTGGGTTGAGTCAGTTTGGGTTGGGTTGATTCAAGTTGGGTTGACTTGAGTTGGGTCGGGTTGGGTTGGGTTGAGTCGGGTTGATTTGGTTGAGTTGAGTCGGGTTGAGTTGAGTCAGTTTGGGTTGAGTTGGGTTGAGTTGCATTGAATTGTGGTGAGTTGGTTGAGTTGAGTCAGGTCGAGTCGAGTTGTGTTGAGCAGAGTCAGGTGGAGTTGGGTGGAGTTGAGTTGGGATGAGTTGGTTGAGATGAGTCAGGTTGAGTTGGATTGAGTTGGTTGAGTTGAGTTGGTTGAGTTGAGTTGAGGTGAGTTGAGTTGAGTCGGGTTGAGTTGAATCAGGTTGAGTTGGGTTCGGTTGAGTTTTTTTGAGTCGGGTTGGGTTGAGTCGCGTTGGGTTGATTTGAGTTGGGTTGACTTGAGTTGGGTCAGGTTGGGTTGAGTAGGTTTGGGTTGATTCGAGTTGGGTTGACTTGAGTTGGGTCAGGTTGGGTTGGGTTGATTTGGTTGAGTTGAGTCGGGTTGGGTTGAGTTGCGTTGAGTTGCGTTTTGAGTTGCATTGAGTTGGTTGAGTTGAGTTGGTTGAGTTGAGTCGCGTTAGGTTGAGTTGAGTTGAGTTGGGTTGAGCCGGGATCACCCTTTAGGGTCCCCCCTGGGGCAGACAGACCCTCCGCCCCCCCCGCAACCCGCAGCCCGTCCCCGGCGCGCAGCGCGTGGCCTCGCAGAGCAGGGTGCCGTGCAGGTAGCAGGTACAGCGTTGACTACAGTTGCCCACCAAGACCTCCTCCAACACCTACAAAGCCAACCAGATCCCACCATCACCCCCAGCCCTTCACGCCCCATTTTTTCCACCCCTCAATGGTGGGCGGTGGGGTGGGGGTGGACCTCACCGGGAGGTAGCGCCCATCCTGGAAGCAGCCGCAGGTGCTGGGGAGGAGGCAGCGGTGGCCATCGGTGAAGAAGCCCTCGGCGCAGCTGCAGCCCTCGAAGCAGGGGCCGGCGCAGGGCAGGGGGTGGGCCAAGCGGGCGCAGCTGCCCTGGCAGGAGCGGGAGCAGAGGGCGTAGAGGCTGTGCTCGCCGCAGGGGAGGGCTGGATGGGGCGGGATTTGGGGGGAAAAAGGGGGAGATTTGGGGGAATGGAGTCAGCCCTGGATTGGGATTGAAACCTGGAAGGACGGTGTTGTCAACCCACGGTTGCCATCCTGTCTCCATCCCAGGGTTGCGATCCCATCCGGTGGTTGCAATCCCATCCAGGTCCACGTTTGCAATCCCATCCCAGGTTTGCAATCCCATCCCCATCCCAGATTTGGAATCCCATCTCCATCCCAGATTTGCAATCCCATCCAGATCCATGCTTCCAATTCCATCCCCTGGTTGCAATCCCATCCCCATCCCATGGTTCCGATCCCATCTCCATTCATGGTTGAAATCCCATTTCAATCCCGTGGTTGCAATTCCATCCCACGGTTCCAATCCCATCCCATGGTTCCAATCCCATCTCCATTCACGGTTGCAATCCCATCCCGTGTCTCCGATCCCATCTCCATCCCATAGTTCCAATCCCGTCTCACCTTTGCAATCCCATCCCATGGTTCCAATTCCATCCCATGGTTCCAATCCCATCCCCATCCCATGTCTCCAATCCCATCCCATGGTTCCAGTCCCATCTCCATCCCATGGTTGCAATCCCATCCCACCTTTGCAAACCCATCCCATGCTTCCAATCCCCATGGTTCCAATCCCATCTCCATTCCATGGTTCCAATCCCGTCCCATGTCTTCAATCCCATCCCATGGTTCCAATCCCATCCCCGTCCCATGTCTCCAATCCCATCTCCATCCCATGGTTCCAATCCCTTCTCACCTTTGCAATCCCATCCCATGTCTCCAATCCCATCCCATGGTTCCAATCCCATCTCCATTCCATGGTTCCAATCCCGTCCCATGTCTTCAATCCCATCCCATGGTTCCAATCCCATCTCCATCCCATGGTTCCAATCCCATCTCCATCCCATTGTTCCAATCCCATCCCATGGTTCCAATCCCATCTCCATCCCATGGTTGTAATCCCATCTCATGGTTCCAATCCCATCTCCACCCCATGGTTGCAATCCCATCTCCATCCCATTGTTCCAACCCCACCCCATGCTTCCAATCCCATCTCCATCCCATTGTTCCGACCCCACCCCATGGTTGCAATCCCACCCCATGGTTCCAATCCCACCTCCCTCACCTTCCCCCGCTCCTTCCCCCCGCCGTTGACCCTACTCACGGCAGAAGCTCTCTGTCCTCCAGACCTTCACCGGAGCTCCAGCCTCCTGGCAGGCGGCGGTGTAGGCTCCCAGACTCCGGCACAACGTGTCCGCAGCCCCACCGGTGAGGACCATCTCCTGGAGACAATGCTCGAAGAAATCCTCGGGGCCAACCTGCCCGTGACAGTCGCTGAAGGGTCCCGGTGTCACCACCATCATCCCACATGAGTTCTTGGCGTGGTAGGGCCCGGTGACATCCGGTGGGTGACCAGGACAATTTTCACACGTGTCTGAGCAGGTTATGGATTCATCTGGAACCTTCCAGGCCACCACCAACTCTTGGGTCCCGTTGACCCACGTGCCGTTGGGTCCCGTGAAATCGTTGTCGCCGTTGCCATCGAAGTCCCCGCAGAGGCCACACATCCGCCCCGCGGAGGTGCTGGGGACGGTGACCAAGAGGACGGCGGTGGCGACGTAGACGAGCCGGTGGCCCGGGGCGGTTTGAAGGACGATGGTGGTCCCTTCTTGGGTCACCCAGGTCTTCCCATCACCCACCGAGAGCGGGAGAGCGCGGGTCTCCCCGTCCACCTGCGGGCAAAGGAGGAAGGAGATGGAAGTTCTGAGATGTCCCCCCACTTTGTCCCATCACCTTTGGGTCCACCCACGGTGACGGAGGAGGAGCTCCACCCCACATGTGTCCCTCTGGAGCTCACCCGTCCCCAGCATTATCCGGAGCTCACAGCATTATCCGGTGGTTTTTTTTCCAGCGGATAATCCCGAATTTTGGTTGGGTGATGGGTCAAGACTCGTTCCTCCGGCAGAGGAATTGGGTTGAGGACAGAGGGAGAGGAGAAGTCGCGGCAGAAGGTGGTGGAGAAAGTGGGGTGAGGGGCGGGAGAGCCATTCTGAGGAGAGGAGGAGGAGAAGAAGGATCTCAGAGGGCTTTTTGGGGGAGATAAGAGAAGAAGAAGGATCCTGGAGAGCTTTGCAGAAGAGGTGGAGAGGAGAAGAAGGATCTTGGACACCTCTTTTTTTGGAAGATAAGGAGGATCTCTGAGAGCTTTTTGGGGGAGAGAAGAGAAGAAGGATCCTGGAAAGGTTTTTAGAAGACATGAAGAGGAGAAGAAGGATCTCACAGAGCATTTTCGAGGAGATAAGAGAAGAAGAAGGATCCTGGAGAGCTTTGTAGAAGAGATGGAGAGGAGAAGGATCTTGGACACCTTTTTGGGGGAAGATAAAAGAAGAGAGCTTCTTGGGGGAGATAAGAGAAGAAGAAGGATCCTGGAAAGGTTTTTAGAAGGCATGAAGAGGAGAAGGAGGATCTCGGAGAGCATTTTAGAGGAGATAAGAGAAGAAGAAGGATCCTGGAGAGCTTTTTAGAAGAGATGAAGAGGAGAAGAAGGATCTCCAAGAGCTTTCGGGGGAGATAAAAGAAGAAGGACCCTGGAGAGCTTCGTAGAAGAGAAGAAAAGGAGAAGAAGGATCTCAGAGGGCTTTTTAGGGCCACCAAAGAGGACAAGCAGCATCCTGGTGCACGGGGATAGTGGGCTCCACCCCAGGGTGACCCGTTGGGATGGGGCTGTGGCTCAAAGGGTTTGAGCTGCTGGTGGCCCACCCAGAAGCCAAACACTCACCTCAACGCTCCACCTGCTCCCGCTCCGCATGGTGACCCGGGAACCCCCGACCGCCACGGTGACATCTCCACCCTTCTCCAGCGTCACCTCCAACTCCTCACCATCCCCGTGACACGCCTTGGCCAGGAGGTAACGACAAGTGCCACCCAGGGTGACGTTCAACCCGTCGAAGGTGACCAACCGTCGGTCCCCCAAGAGGACGCAACGGCCCCGGTGGCCACCGTGACAACCCCGGATGCCTTTCTCCACCCGACACTCCTGACCTGGAGGACACGGGGCAGCCCAACAGGTCACCGTCCCCAACCCCGTGCACCGGCAGCGTTGGGCGCACCCCTCGTTGGGGTAAAAGTCTTCTCCTCGTGGGTAGTAACGTCCCCCGTGGTGACAACCGCAATCGGGGGGTGACACACAACGTTCGCCGCTGAGGACGTAACCTTGGTCGCAGAAACACCCTTCGGTCCTCGGGAGGTCACACGGCTCCGGGTCCTCGGGGTGGTGGCACGTGGCGGGACAAGAGGTGCCATTCAGTTCGTAGTGCGCGTGAGGGGGACAAGCGGGTGCTGGGGGAGGGGACAGGAGGAGGGCGGGGTCAGCACTTTGGGGTGAAAAAGGGGGAATTTGGGGACTGACGGGGACAGGGTGGGGGGGAGGATTAAAGGGTTGTCCCCAAATCAGGGGGGGGGGGTGGGAGGGGTTTCCAATGGGATGACCTCAGACGGAGACGCCCATTGGGGATTTTTCTCCTCTTGAGGATGTTCCCAATCTCCCTTTTGACCCCCAACTGGGACGGAGAGCCCCATCCGAGGATTTTTCGCAGAATGTCATCTATGGATTTTCTCCGAACCTCATCCAAGGATCTTTCTCGGAACCTCATCCCAAGATTTTTCTTAGAGCCCCATCCAAGAATTTTTCTTGGAGCCCCATCTAAGGATTTTCTCCAAACCCCATCCAAGGATTTTCTCTGAAATCCATCCCGAGATTTTTCTCGGAATACCATCCGACGATTTTCTTGGAACACCATCCAAGGATTTTCTCGGAACCCCATCCAAGGATATTCTCCAAACCCCATCCAGGGATTTTCTCGGAACCCCATCCAACGATTTTTTTCTCCTCTGACCAGGTTGGATGCAGATCCCTCTCCGGGATTTTCCACCTCTGAGGATCCTCCCGTCTCCCTCTTGACCCCGGATTGGACAGACAACCCTATCCAAGATTTTGCCTCCTGGAATTCTCCTCAGCTGGAGATCCCAAACTGGGATTTTCTTCCTCCGAGGAAGCTCCCGTCTCCCTTTTGACCCCAACGTGGATGGAGATGCCTCTCCAAGGACTTTCCTACCCCAACCAGCTCCGCTGGAGGTCCCAGTCTGGGATTTTCCTCCTCCCAGGACATTCCCATCTCCCTCTTGACCCCATCTCAGCTGGAAACCAATCTCCAAGGATTTTCCTCCTCCAACCAACTTGGATGGAGATGCAAATCCTGGGATTTTCCTACTTCCTACTGCCTGGCCAACCCCCAAATCCACCTACCGCAGAAGGTCTTGGAGCCTTCCAAGGACCATCCAAGGACCATCCAAGGACTTTCCTACTCCAACCAGCTCTGCTGGAGATCCCAATCTGGGATTTTCCTCCTCTGAGGACACTCCCGTCTCTTTTTTTGACCCCAACGTGGATGGAGATGCCTCTCCAAGGACTTTCCTACCCCAACCAGCTCCGCTGGAGGTCCCAGTCTGGGATTTTCCTCCTCCCAGGACATTCCCTTCTCCCTCTTGACCCCATCTCAGCTGGAAACCAATCTCCAAGGATTTTCCTCCTCCAACCAACTTGGATGGAGATGCAAATCCCGGGATTTTCCTACTTCCTACTGCCTTGGCCAACCCCCAAATCCACCTACTGCAGAAGGTCTTGGAGCGCCATGGCTCGAGGACTGCTCCAACCTCCTGGCAGGCAGCCGCGTAAGCCGTCACCGCTTGGCAGACGATGGCTTTGTGCCCTCGGAAGCGGCAGTAATCGGTGACGCACGCCTGGAAATAAGTCTCGGGGTCAACCCGGAGGTGACAAAACCGGAACGGTCCCTCGGGTGACACGATGAGGCCACACTCCTCCCCGTTGGCCCGTTGTTTGCGGGCGATGACGGCACGGCTGGAGCATTGGCGCGGCGGTGGCCGGTCACATGTCGCCGCCCCCTTTGGCACCTCCTGGGGGACGTCGTTTTGGGGGTCACCATCGAAATCGCCGCAGAGGCCACACAGACCCCCCGCGTAGGTGCTGGGAACAGTGACAACCACGTGGCTCCGGCCATCGAAGGAGATGCTCAAGCGGAAGTCGGTGCGTAAGGAGGTGCCCCAACCCCGGCGGGCGATGGAGATCTTGCCCCCAAGAAGGGTGGGGGGCAGGTTGACCAAGAGGCCATCGACCTGGGAAGGGGGACAGGGGGGATGTTCTGGGGGGTTGTGTGGGGTGGGGTGGGGAAGGAGCCCCATGTGGGGTTGAGTTTGGGGAGGAGCGGCAGGGGGGCTGGCAGGGCCAACCACCACCCAACA